GCTTGGTTTTGCTATTGTTACAGAGAGGCTATTATGACATTGATATAACGGTCCTCGTCAGATCACCGAAGTTAAGCAATATCGAACCTAGTCAGTAACTAGATGAGTGGCCTCTTGGGAATACCAAGTGCTTTAAGCTTGGATTTGCCAGTGTTATATAGAGGACTTGTGGCTATTATCACACTGAAATACCTGGTATCGTCCGATCACCGTAATGAGGCAATGTCGAGCCTGGTCAGTACCTGGATGGGTGACCGCTAGTAGGTCTTGTGTCAGCTAAAACATTGTTATCACCAGATTTACAATCTAAAAAGGTTTCCTGGTTTTAAAAGGGTGATAAGACATAAAGAAACATATCAATCAATCATAAAATCCAGAAGCCTTCAAGGCAACAAACCTAAAACGGTTCTTATAAAAAAATGAAAAGTTCATTAAAACAAAAAAAAAACAAAAAAGTGACATTTATTCTTCTGCTATGTCTCCTAAGGACGTTGGTGATCATGTCTCTCCACAATCTCCTATCCTTTGTAGCTTTTCATAAATAATCTCTTCTGGTTACCTATCGTAAATCCCATTCCGCAATCCATTTACCCAAGTAAATTCTTCTTCTTCTTCTTCTTCTTCTTCTTCTTCTTCTTCTTCTTCTTCTATGATCCTTGTTCATTTGGGATGTTGGCGATCATGGCGATCAATTTCATGTCCTATGTAGCTCTTCACATATTTTGTCTTTTGGTTCCGCCATCCATTTACTCAAACTCTCTAGGTAGGTTATGCATTGTTTTCCTCTGTCCCTCTTGCCTTCAATCTCCTAAACCTTGTTCCGCCATCCATTTACTCAAGCTCTCTAGGTAGGTTATGCATTGTTTTCCTCATACCTTGATTACCTTCAATCTCCCAAACTTTGTTCCGCCATCCATTTACTCAATCTCTCTCTAGGTAGGTTATGCATTGTTTTCATCTGTCCCTCTTGCCTTCCATCTCACCGAACCGTCGAGCCTGCCATCCATTTACTCAATCTATAAGGTAGGTTATGCGTTGTTTTCCTCTGTCTCCTAACCTTGTTCCTGCCATCCATTTACTCTCAATCTCTAGGTAGGTTAGTTTTTTTGTTTTCATCTGTCCCTATTTGCCTTCCATCTCCTAAACCTTGTTCCGCCATCCATTTACTCAATCTCTCTAGGTAGGATTATGCGTTTTTTCCTCTCTTAAGAGTCTTGCCTTCAATCTCCTAAACCTTGTTCCGCCATCCATTTACTCAATCACTCTAGGTAGGTTACCTGGATTGTTTTCTCTGTCCTCTTATGTCAATCTCTTTGTCCCACCATCCAATCTCAAAAGGTTTCCTGGTTTAGGTTCCATTTTTTTCCATCCATTTCAAATCCAGAAACCTTGTTCCGCCATCCATTTTATAATCAATCTCTTCATTGGTAGGTTATGCGTTTTTTCCTCTTCCTCTTGCCTTCAATCTCGTTGGTGATTGTTCTCTCCATCCATCTCCATCTCCTAGGTAGGTTATCGTTGTTTTTCTCTGTCCCTTTCGTAAATCCCAATCTCTTTAAACTTCTTCCACCATCCATTTATGTTGGCTCAATCTCTCTAGGTAGGTCCCTGCGTTGTTTTCCTTTGTCCCTGGTTCGCCTCCATTTAATCAAACTCCTAAACCTTGTTCCTCTGTCCCTCTTGCCTTCAATCTCCTGACCTTGTTCATATCCATTTACTCAAGATCTCTAGGTAGGTTATGCGTTGTTTCCCTGTCCCTCTTGCCTTCAATCTCCTAAACCTTGTTCCGCCATCCATTTACTCAATCTCTCTAGGTAGGTTATGCGTTGTTTTCATCTGTCCCTCTTGCCTTCCATCTCCTAAACCTTGTTCCGCCATCCATTTACTCAATCTCTCTAGGTAGGTTATGCGTTTTTTTCCTCTCTCCCTCTTGCCTTCAATCTCCTAAACCTTGTTCCGCCATCCATTTACTCAATCTCTCTAGGTAGGTTATGCGTTTTTTCCTCTCCCTCTTGCCTTCCTCCTAAACCTTGTTCCGCCATCCATTACTCAATCTCTCTAGGTAGGTTATGCGTTGTTTTCTCTGTCCTCTTGCCTTCAATCTCTTAAAACTTCCCCACCATCCATTTACTCAATCTCTCTAGGTAGGTTATGCGTTTTTTTTTCTCACCCTCTTGCCATCAATCTCCTAAACCTTGTTCCGCCATCCATTTACTCAATCTCTCTAGGTAGGTTATGCGTTGTTTTCATCTGTCCCTCTTGCCTTCCATCTCCTAAACCTTGTTCCGCCATCCATTTACTCAATCTCTCTAGGTAGGTTATTATTGTTTTCATCTGTCCCTTTTTTCCTCTCTCCCTTGTTCTGCCATCCATTTACCTCAAACTCTTGTTATGCGTTTTTTTCCTCTCACCCTCTTGCCTTCAATCTCCTAAACTTGTTCCGCCATCCATTTATCAATCTCTCTTGGTAGGTTATGCGTTGTTTTCTGTCCTCTTGTCCCCTTTTCCGCCCATTTACTCAATCTCTCTAGGTAACTTTTTCATCTGTCCCTCTTGCCTTTCATCTCTAAACCTTGTTCCGCCATTTTACTCAATCTCTCTAGGTAGGTTATGCGTTTTTTTCCTCTCTCCCTCTTGCCTTCAATCTCCTAAACCTTGTTCCGCCATCCATTTACTCAATCACTCTAGGTAGGTTATGCGTTGTTTTTCTCTGTCCCTTTTGCCTTCAATCTCTTAAAACTTGTCCCACCATCCATTTACTCAATCTCTCTAGGTAGGTTATGCGTTGTTTTCCTCTGTCCCTCTTGCCTTCAATCTCCTAAACCTTGTTCCGCCATCCATTTACTCAATCTCTCTAGGTAGGTTATGCGTTTTTTTCCTCTCCCTTTTGCCTTCAATCTCTTAAACTTGTCCCTTCCATTTACTCAATCTCTCTAGGTAGGTTATGCCTCTGTCCCTCTTGCCAATCTCCTAAACCTTACCGCCATCCATTTACTCAGGTCTCTAGGTAGGTTATGGTTGTTTTCCCCTGTCCTTCTTGCCTTCAATCTCCCTAAACCTTGTTCTGCCATCCATTTACTCAATCTCTCTAGGTAGGTTATGCGTTGTTTTCCTCTCTCCCTCTTGCCTTCAATCTCCTAAACCTTGTTCTGCCATCCATTTACTCAATCTCTCTAGGTAGGTTATGCGTTTTTTTCCTCTCTCCCTCTTGCCTTCAATCTCCTAAACCTTGTTCCGCCATCCATTTACTCAATCTCTCTAGGTAGGTTATGCGTTTTTTTTCTCTGTCCTCCCTTTCCTTCCATCCATCAATCTCTCTAAAACTTGTTTCCCCCTTTGCCTTCAATCTCTTAAACTCCATTTACTCAATCTCTCTAGGTAGGTTATGCGTTGTTTTCCCCTGTCCCTCTTGCCTTCAATCTCCTAAAACTTGTTCCGCTATCCATTTACTCAGTCTCTCTAGGTAGGTTATGCGATGTTTTCCCCTGTCCCTCTTGCCTTCAATCTCCTAAACCTTGTTCTGCCATCCATTTACTCAATCTCTCTAGGTAGGTTATGCGTTGTTTTCCTCTCTCCTCCTTGTCTCTGTTTATTCACATATTTTCTCCATAATATTCTTAACATCCTTCTGAAGAAGCACTTTTCTGTTGCTTCAATTATTTTCTTCTTCTCTGATGAGATCATCGCGCATTCACTGCCATATTGGACGTCCGATATTATAAAACATTTCAGTGCACTGTTCTTTGTTTCTCACGATATTTTCTTGATTCTTTTTACTTTGCTTAGCTTTTGGAAGGCATCTTTCGCTATCCCAATACGCGTTCGGATTCTTGTGTCACACTTTTCGTCCTCTATTAAAACACTTCCTAGATATTTAAATTATTGAACTTGTTTGATTTTGGTATCCCTCATTTGTAATTTGCATGTTTGGCTGTCACTTTTGCGAACAGTCTTCTTTCTTCATAATTACAAGGTTTCATTGATAAGCAGATGTTCCAATCATCTTCAAAGGTAAATTACAAAGACACCTCCAGTAGAATCTGCATTCTGTTGAATGAGTGATTTTATAAACACACGTGGTTTTAGTGTCACATTTTCTGTCCTCTGTTAAAACACATCTCAGATATTTAAATTGTTTTACTTGTTTGATTTTGTTATTCCCAATTTGTAATGTGCACGTTGAACTGTCCCTTTTGCTAACAGACATACACTCTTGTTTACTTGCAGTTAAGGCTTCGGCTTTCTTTAATACTTTGCATTGTTTTTGAAAGGCATCTTTCTCTATCCAAGTGAACCTTCGGATTTGAGTGCCGGGCTTTTCGACCTCGAGTTAAAATACCTCCCAGATATTTAAATTGTTTTACTTGTTTGTTTTGTTATTTGTTAGTTGCATGTTGAGCTGTCTTTTGCTAACAACCATGCGTTTCGTCTTCTTGCAGTTGATAAGTACAAGTGTCCTTTTTTTAGTTTTTTTTCTTTCTAAATTTACGTCGTTGATCACATGTTCGGTCCATGGTATTTCCAGCAGTTTTCTGTAGAACCGGATTTCTGTTAATCTCTTCTTCACCTGTGAGGAGATTGTTCAGCATTGATTGCCATATTGAAGGATTGATATTAAGTAAATCTAGTACCCTTTTCTTTGTTTCTTAATACTTTGCTTAACTTTTGGAAGGTATCTTTCGCTATCCCAATTCGCCTTCGGATTTCAGTGTTGCATTTTTCTTCTTCTGTTAATGTTGTGGATTCCGAGATGAAATCCGGTCTCTAATGAATGACAAACGCAGGAATGAAATATAGCAAATAAATGTATTTACACAATAATACAATTGGTAATACTGTTAGTAAATCCAGAAACGTGGTTAGTAGCTGTTGTGGTAGGATCCACCTTATTTGCATAGTGGAGTACCGACCATATAAATATGGTTGGTACCGGGAAGAGAGGAAGGAATCAAGAGATTCAACGAGAGACTCTGCCCGACTGCGATTCAAGTCAACACATT